GTGAACCATCACTGAAAACTTCGAACCCGGGTACAAGCTGCTGAAATAGGTTTTTTAAACGAGTCGCTGGCTTTACACGTCTCGATCTGGTCTGGAATGCAGACGTCGGTGAAAACCTTAGTATACTGCCTTTGCTTCTCAAGATTGAGAAGCCACATCTGCGATTGTTTGAGTATGTGCTGCGAATGCTCTAGAAAGGAAAGCTAAGCAACTGTTTCTTGGGAAACCGGCCGACAGAAGGCCCATGGGACGGCTAAGATTAACCTGTTGCCTATTTATTTAAGGAGTCTGTTCTACGCTGCAGTTGTCTTCTGCCGAAGCTCAGACTCTGGTACCGGATCGGGAACGTTGGAAAGACTGTCGGTTGTGTCTGCCTCCGCGATTCGAAAGGAGAAGCGGCCATGTAAGATTAAGAAGAAGGTAGTTGAGGGTTTGCACCAGGTGCTCAATTCTAGTTACGACGAATTGCAGCCTTGAAGCATAGTCGTCTGGAGCATGGCCGTATGTTTCACACGCTCTAATATGACCATGCCTTAATACCATGATTTTCCAATTGTTTGCAAGCCAGCGACTTGTTACCTGTTTTTCAGCTGGTTGTACAGTGTGGTGAATTTCTGGCTCAGTTAAATTAGCAGTTAGCAAGATAAGATTTAGGTCGCCTATTGGATTCAATCGCCCTCCTCTGAAGCGATAGCAAGTTTCCTACCCCCTGCTCTACTGACCATTTCGATACCCCCTCCCCCATGAGGTTAAGCAGAGGGACAGAAGTAATATTGCCATCAGCTTGAAAAATTTCTAATGCAATGGTCTAAGAAGTCTTTTTGTCTTCTTAAGTTCTGGCGGCTTTACATTCGATTCCTGCACGACATTGCCCTATCTCAACCGCATATATCAAGTTTTTTTGTTTGGACTCTATAATTGTTTTTTTATCTTGCTTTATTCACATTATTGTCAGGGCAGGAATATATTATGCATTTGTGTATAAGCCTTGGTTGCAGATGTGGTAATCGTGGACTGCGTCATACAGGACGTTAGTGGCTACGACGAGTTCTGTACGGCTCTGAAAATTTGTTCTCTCAACAGCTGTGGTATGCAGGTAGTAGTCAACGAAATGGAAATTTCCAAATGTGGCTGTCCGCGGGTACAGTTGGCCTTGGAATTGTTAAATCCTGAGGTATGTGATTTTAACTTTTGATCAAAATTTAAATTAAAATTGAGTTGCAATTTTTTCTTTACTTTTGTGCTTCATTTCATTTCATTTTTCAGTTCTATCATTGACCAAACATCAGAAATACCGTATCCATGTGAATCGCCTGGAAGGACTCGACAATCACTGAATTTGTTTATGTGGTACTCATCGTCTGCTCATGGAAAACATTCGGAATGTGTGGGCTGCAGTGTTTTGATAGCATCTTCGGAAGAAACGACATCTATTTTGAAAAATGATACTGCGCAGTTCAGTTTGAATTTGAGGATGGAGAATCTGTCGCACTTCGTAGAATCCATAGTGACTGAGCAATACTTAGTTATTGTTTGCACAGATCGCCTAAACGATAAAAGGTTTCGTGAAAAAAGTACTTTTTCTGTCTTGTAAGTAGAAGACTCGTGTGTTGATATTAAAAAATGACCATTAGCGCTGCTTAATCATTAGCATTTGCCTCTTGCCTTGGTACGGATGACGAAATAATGGGTCTGATGGCATATAAGGCAAAGTATGCTTAAGTATTTGTCTTCTCATTAAGCTCTGTTGTAGTTGTTTGAGCCTATTATGAAGTGTAAAATGGGCGGTTAGCAGGATAGCAGTAATCAGTAGATGCTGCATCTCCATAAAGTTGTAAAGCGGGCATGCTTAAGAGCACAGTACTTGAACGAAAGTATGCTGGCCGTCAAACGGTAGATGCAATTTGTTCGCATCATAATCTGGCTCATAACTTCACAAACTAAATTCATCAGAACTATGACGGCGTTTATATTCGGTCATCATGTTACCTCCCCCTTGCCTGTTCTGATGACTAACTTGCCCGGATGTTTTTTCAGCACCTTACCAGCCTGGCGGTGCCGTTGAATTATATGCGGGAGGAAGAATGGTTTGAGTTGATGGATCAAATCAGTCGCTTTAAAAACCTGGTCTCACTGGACATCAGCGGCAACGAACTGAACTTCTGTGATGACTTGGCAATGACCGATCGCACTCACGCATTGCTGCGAGACCTGCCTAAGCTCAAACGATTAAATGTCTCGCATAACCGGTTGAGCCGGAGTCTTTCAGTCATCTTGTCCGGTTGCGTGAATGGCTTAACGCACTTGAGTCTTTGCGGATGTAGGCTCATGGAGACGGACCTGATCTACCTTGGGTAAGACAATAGAGTTTGTGCAAACGTCATAGAAGTGCTTTTATCGTAGTTCTTGCAATCACACGACCTCCCTGCAAGTGCTGGACATCTCCACGAACGATTTTCAGGCGTCCACCAGTTCGCTTTGCTGTTTGTTCCGCAGCTGCAGGGATACTCTTAGAGTGCTGGTCTTGGAATGCTGTAATTTGAAGGATATTCAGATCGAGCGACTGATGATCAACCTGATGACCATGAGTCGCCTTCGACTTCTCAATTTCGCCCGCAACTTGCTACGACGAACTACGTACGACACGTATGTGCGTCAGCTGAAGGTTCGTAGAGTAATTTTATTAAAAACATTGTTGCATATTTTTCCGTACGAGTCGTCTTACATGTTCAATGAAACTTTGAGTACAGCTGTTCGAAGCTTAATTGGTTAATTAATTAGGCATACTTCTTTAGCTGTATTCTCAAACTTTTCGATATACTAGTCTTATCTTT